TGCTGCTGCTGCTGCAGAGGATTGTGTGCATCCGAAGGATCTGGTTTTACGGTGAGGTTGCCTTTGGGTAAATTGCGTACATTCCGCACCGAAATTGCCGCTGCAACTACATCACCGCTACATATAACCATATCTGTGCCATAACCAGCAGCGTCAATTTCGGTGCGGAATGTACGCAATTTACCCAAAGGCAACCTCACCGTAAAACCAGATCCTTCGGATGCACACAATCCTCTGCAGCAGCAGCAGCAGCATCTACAACAACAAAAGCACTTAGTACAAGGCAATTATGATCAAGCGTTGGGCAAACTTACGAATTCCTACTATGGCACAGCGCACGATACGAAATACGCGAAGACAACAACACTCACGGATCGAAGTGGCAGTCATGGCATAGGAGGTGTTTATGGCAGCAGCGGACTACTTTCGGGTGGCAACAGCATATTGGCCTCCTCCACGCCACTGCATCCCAGCGTGAATGGCGGCGACTATTATGGTGGTGTTGGTAGTGCGGCTGCTGGTGGTGGGAGCTTATGGCAAGGCCAACAGCGACAACAACAACAACAACAACAATATCAAGCAGCAGCAGCAGCAGCATATCCGCTGAGACGCGTGGAGAGTCGCGCTGAAATCGATATGTTGGAACGTGAGACCAGCACACAGATGAGGGTGAGTAGTACGCGAGGCATCCACTTTAAGGGGGGATGTACCCACTTTAAGAAGAGCAAGAGTTGAAGAAGGTTTTGTGACGGCGCTTAGCGCCTGAAATATATCGACTTGCATTGATAAATGCGACGGAAATCATTTTGCGCGGCTGCAGCCAAAGTCAAATGGCTAAAGTTTGGTATTCAATAATAAAAAAAAAAATTGGAAATGTTGGTAAGGAATGTTTGTGTGCGTATTGGAGAACGCGACATTGAAAGAAATTCAATTTAAAGTGAACACCAGCTATTTATTAATTTGCTGTCCGCGTTTTGCCATTTCTCTTTTGTTCCATTAATATTGCTTGGTCTTTTGTGTTATTTAGTTTTGTTATTTTTAGTTTTTACTAATGTGCCAAATTTTTTTATTTTCAATTTTATTTGCTTTAATTTCAAATACCCGCAAATATTGCAATTTCAAAAATGTTTCGCACCTGCGTCCTTTCGCCGCTTGCCTGCTTGCTTTTGGGTGTGTCTGTCTCTACGCCGATTTGCTGCCACTTAGAATCTGGATGTATCCGCTGGTGATTTACTAAGTCGTACACATGAGGAGCTGGTTCTGCTGCTGATACAGTTGAGGCGACAAAACAGCAATACGGCGCGCGCCATCGAGCAATGCTGCAGTGATATTCATGAAGTGCAGGTTGATAAATACTTTTTACTCATGCATATCTACATATCTACATACATACATATAACTAAAATAGCGGGTGTTGGTTTTTTTTGGAATAATTGAGAACTGATCTTATTTTCTTATGCCCTCCTAAACGATATTATTCACTAAATCACCGTTACAAACTCTACATCTTTCCCTAGAATCGTTTACGCACTGCGGAGGGTCTGACACGCGCCGAGAGCATACAGCGCTTGGATTACCTGAAGCAACATCTGCTCGATCTGGAGCGCCAGTATGAGAAGAGCAAGCCGCTAGTCAACCTGGTGGACAATATGGTGAAGCTGGGTTCACTTTATCGCAACAACGACATAAACGGCCGACAGCCGCAACGCAACGAGGCCGTTACACTCGATCGACTCGAATTCAATCAGCGCATACAAGAGCGACGCATGCTGCAAGAGGAGCAGAAGCAATGGGATCGACTCAGTCCCAATCACAGCGAATTGCAGGTAAGCGACCAACCTTGGTGATTTCGAAAAATATCTAAGGCAAATAATTTCGCTAAAATTGAAGTAATACATATTCCAACACCGTCAACGTCAAAGGGGCACAACTCAAAATTACACGTTTGTCAGAAAATGCAAAAAACTATTTCTTAGCACATGATAATCATATGGGGAAGGGAGACTTTACCTTAGGGGTTTTTTAATAAATTATAACAAAAATTTGCTCCAACTTTTGCTGAAAGGTAAATAAAAGCTCTGTGTACATTTTTAGCGCATAATTTCAAAAATGTCAAATTTTTAGTTGTGCCGCTTTTGAAGACGGTGTGCGATATGCATTGATTTTGTCTGCATGTATTTCTTAATTCTCATTCCTCCCTCCCTCTCTCATCACCAGTCCAAGGTCAATCAACTCTACCAACTCGATCAGCTGTTGCAAGAGGAATCTGGCACTTTGCAAAATTTGCAACGCGACAAAGAGGAATTGGAGCGCGCTTTGGGCGGCTTGCGTGCACGCATACAGGACACTTCCGGGCCGCCGTTGGCGCTCGAGGCGGC